CTTACTCAAGAGAAATGTTTAAAAGCTACGGGGTTTTCACACGACTCGTGTGACCATGTGACACGAGTCGTGTAAGGTTCACACGACCCGTGTCACATCTTCACACGAGTCATGTGACTATTGACTCTCTGAAAATCTGATTAATGTTTAATTATAATTTTCTACTTTGTGATTCATTTTAAATTACACATTAAAGTATATTACTTTGTTTAATTGTTTCAATTTTTGGATCGTATACTTTTAGGGACAAATCACCAGAGCCAGCATAATCAGGGTGCCTGGACAGATGTTGAGTTTTTTCGGACGCTTGCCAAAGAGGTTGAAGCGAGCGATCCTGCGACGATGCGGTACTGCAATAACCTCCTTTACGGTCAGCTTTACCCGGACGAACAAGCATATGGAGAACCGGAGGTTAAGGAAAATACGCGAGGTCGTCCCAAAAAAACTGATTCTACTAAGCGTGAAGCATCGCGATGGGAGTATAGGGATAATTCTCAAGGTCGTACAAGCAATTCTTCGCGTGGACGCACTTCTTCGCGTGGACGCACATCTTCGCGTGGACGCACTTCTTCGCGTGGACGCACTTCTTCGTGTGGACCGAGAACCAGCCAATCTTCTGAACCGTCACAAGAGGCACACCAAGGTGACATTTATTTTTTATAAAGTTGAACGTTAATTAAAATGTTAATTTACAAAATTATATTATTTTATTGTGACGTGAAATTATTATGATGTTCCAGCTGGTACCGAGACAGATATATTTAGCTTTAAGTACAACAACAGTGTTCCCGGCATATGTTGGACTAAGTAGTGAGCTACTTTGAATGTGAAAGCAGATGGGAACTGCGGATGGCGGGTCATCGCGAGTTACATTTACGGGGACCAGGAGATGTGGCAACTCGTACGAGAGAACGTTGCCAATGAGATTTACAGCCATCGTGCCTTGTACGAGTACATCTATTACAGGGATATCGACACGGCACTCGCTCGGATAAGGTGGGACGGGGGCGCTTTTTTATTTTTATTATTATTATTTTGCTAATATTTATATTTTATATTTATTTTTCTTTTATATTATAAGTATTATTATTCAAATGCTAATATTTTAATTTTATAAGGTGGGACGGGGGTGCTTGTGGCACGAATCACTGAATGGACACTCCAACC